TAAACCGCATAAACACATTGCATTACACCAAATACACAAAATAGTTATTTTTAGCAACATCGTATGACCCCTTTAAGCTTCTTCTTCTTATTATTATTATTATTATTATGAGACTAAAATTTCTGAACTCTACTCCTCCTAGAGCTTTCAAGCTAGAACCACCAAACTCAGCCCAGCTCTTCAGACTGATCTGACTCTTGTTGCTATCTCTTTTCAGACTGATCCGACTTAGTTTTCATAAAACTGAAGATTAAAAATAATAACTTACATTGACGGAATGTTCAAATGAGCCAAGACTATTCAAACTCCAACTGTCAAAATTCAAATCTAAACACATTGAAGCCTTTAAAACTCAATCAGACTTCCCTTCTATGTACTATTTCTAATCCATTCAAACTCATTCAAACTTATCTATCTAATACTTCTTATCTATCTATCTATCTATCCTAGCGACATGCTAATCATGCTAGAAACCGACTAACAACATGCTAGTAGAATGCTAATCATGCTAGCAACATGCTAATCATGTTAGAAACATGCTAAGGACATGCTAGTAACTTGATAATCATGTTGTCAACATGCTAGTTACTTGCTAATCATGCTAGCAACATGCTAGTGACATGCTAATCATGCTAGAAACATGCTAGTAACTTGCTAATCATACTAGAAACATGCTAGTCACTTTTTGTTAACCATACTAGCAACATGCTAGTAACATGCTAATCATGCTAGAAACATGCTAGTGACATGCTAGTAACTTGCTAATCATGCTAGTGACATGCTAGTAACTTGCTAATCATGCTAGCGACATGCTAGTTACTTGCTAATCATGCTAGAGACATGATAGTAGCATGCTAATCATACTAGAAACATTAGCGACATGCTAGTAACTTGCTAATCATGCTAGCGACATGCTAGTCACTTGCTAATCATGCTAGTGACATGCTAGTAACTTGTTAATCGTGCTAGTGACATGCTAGTCACTTGCTATTCATGCTAGCAACATGCTAGTAGCATGCTAATCATGCTTGAAACATGGTAGCAAAATGCTAGTAACTTGCTAATCATGCTAGCGAAATGCTAGTAACTTGCTAATCATGCTAAAAACATGCTAGTAACTTGTTAATCATGTTAACAATATGTTAACAGGCTAATCATGCTAAAACGTGCTATCAACATCTAATCTATCTAAATTTTCAAACTTCAGGCTTTTACAACTGCTTTAAACTTTCAGGCTAGGCTTTCTCAAGCCAACCTAAAGTTTGTCTTGACAAACTTTTTTTATCTCGTTTTTTATTATTATATATTTTCTAACCGATTTCTAACAGAAATCCAGAGACTTACAGTGACGGAACGTTCAAACGGCAGAATCTGTTCAAACTACAACTGACAAAACATTCAAATGTAAACAGACACACACACACACACACCTGATTGATTTTGTGGAAACTACTTGACAGATACAGCAGACCAAACACCATTCATTAAACATAAATTCTGAAACAAGAGTGCAGTATGAATAGTTTTTTTTTGTCAAAAATTTGGAACTTTCTGATTGACTGGTGTTACATTGGTCTCTCTTCCTCAGGTGTGCACACATACCAGCTGATGTACGGCTGTGAGTGGGATGATCAGACTAGAGCAACAGATGCCTTCAATCAGTTTGGATATGATGGAGAGGACTTTGTGTCTCTGGATTGGAAAGAGCAGAGATACATATCTTCAGTGCAGCAAGGATTCTCCTCCATACAGAAGTGGAACCATGACAGAGGCTTGATTGAGAATAACAAACAGTACTTCAAAACTCAGTGCATTGAGTGGCTGCAGAAGTATCTGCAGTATGGAAAGAGCATGAAGAAAACAGGTACATCAGATCTTATCCAGCAGTGAACGTGCATGTTTTTATAAACCAGTGTTTCCCAACACTGTTCCTGAAAGCACACTTTTAGTAAACATTTTGGATGTTTCCCTTATCTGACCATACCATTATAGAGGTGCTTCTCATTTCTTTTTTTCTTCATCCTCACTTCCACTCCTTGTGTCTTAGCTGGAAAGGATGCAAGGAAAGAAAATTAGTATACTGTAGTGTGCTGTAGTGGTTAAAACTCAGAGCTGGTGACCGGAAAATTGCTGGTTTGATTCCTGCAGTCTATTAATTTTAACCATCTCTCTCTCTCTCTCTCTCTCCAGTCTCTCCTCAGGTGTCTTTGCTGCACAAGGATCCTTCCTCTCCAGTCATGTGTCATGCTACAGGTTTTTACCCCAGTGGAGTAACAATCACCTGGATGAGAAATGACCAGGAGCATCTTGAGGATGTGGATCTGGGTGAACTTCTTCCCAATGAAGATGGAACCTTTCAGAAGATGAGCACCATCAGAGTTACACCTGATGAGTGGAAGAAGAATGTGTATGAATGTGTGGTGGAACACCAGGGCAAAACCATCAGAAAGACAGCAGATGAGATCATAACTATCTCTGGTATTGCCACCCACACACTATACAGCTTTTAAAATGGCTGTCCTTTTCACACTACACAAATGTCTATAAAAAATGGGGTGTCTTGAAGTTGCTGTAAATAGAACATTACATGAGGGATCGGTAGAGGGTTGCAAAAAGGTGGAAAGTTTCCAGTAAATTTCGGAAATATTCCAGAAATTTTAGAAACGTTCCAGGATTTTTTGGAATATTCCAGGGATTTTTGGAAAAGTTTCCGGAAATTTTCCACCCCTTTGCAACCCTAGGGATCAGGGACAAGAGTTGCAGACAGGTGTCGATATTCAACCTGCTAAATATCTCTTGGGCATGTGCAACACATCAACTCATCTCTCAGATTGCATCTTTGTAAATTCACACATAGCGATCTTCACTCACATTAAGTAAAGCCTAAAGTGTATTTCGGCTGTTCGCGTTCTGTGCATTGTCTGTGTGATGCTATTTTTGTCATTAGAAGTGTCCGTGGATGTCCATGCACAGTGTCCACGTGCAGCCCAATTTTTGTTACCACACGGACCATCCGTGTACAACAACGCAGGCACAAAGTGAATGTTGTTGAGACAGAAGAGTACTGCGCATGTGTCGGTCTTGTCCATCCACGCTCGAGTATACTTTGGAATAGACATGTGCCGGAATTCGGTAATGCGATATATCACGATAATGAACATGCACCATATTGTTATCGTGGACACTTTAAAATACCGTGAATAATTATTTAATACAAATTATTCATTTTTTTTTTAATGCATTTTAAGAATACTTTTCCCATCAACTGGTTAAAATGCACAGCATCGCTGTATTGTTGTGTCTAAGACGCATGGGCACTCTGAAGTAAACAAGCTCAACACGTATAAGAAGCACAGGCGGAACGAGTGAAAGAGACGGCGCTGAATGAAAGCGCACATTCACTCTCTGACAGCAGATGGCGCTGATGGAACAGCAGAAATGCAGCCGTTACCCCGGAAACCCTATAAACAAAGCAGCTGCCTTATTTCTGTTTCTGAATAGGATTCAAATGATTTAAACAGCCATTCAGATTTTTGTATTTGCAGTGGTGTTCATCGCAGCACTGAATACTTAAAGACTAAAGGCTGATTTATACTTCTGCCTCAGACCTACGCCGTAGGTTATGCGTCAGTTTTCATTATACTTCTGCGTCGTTGTCCACGTCGAAGTGCAATACACATGCAGATCGCTAGTCTGCAGTGTCCACGGGCATGTTGCTGGTGTAACCCGCAGTACCATGGCAAAAGCCGAAGAATAACTACTTCTGTAACAAATGTAGCTATTGCTCATTGTTAATGTTAATTGAACTAAAGGGTTAGTTCACCCAAAAATGAAAATTAGCCCATGAATTACTCACTCTCATCCTAGTTGTATATGACTTTCTTCTTTCAGACGAATCCAGTCGGAGTTTTATTAAAAATCGTCTTTGATCTTCCAAGCTGTTTTAATGGCAGTCAGCGGGTGTTGCAGTTCATCAGTCCAAAAGAA